TCCTATCGAGGCTCGGGTCTTAGTGAGACTAATGTGTGGGTCTACGCGTTTTCTCTCTCCGCTCGTCTCGGTTCTCCTCTTCCCGAAGAGGCCTAACGTCTTCTAAGGACCCTAACACTGTTCTGCGTGAGCGGGTTTATAATGCCTCACGCTTTTTAGTCTCTTTTTTATTTCTGTTAGAGTGCTACACTACTCTCTCTATCATATCTTGCGCGACTTTCTTGTTATTCCCTATCTTATATTATCTATGTTTCTCATCCATGATGCGTCTCTTTCGTTTGCTCTCTTTTTCTGGTTACATCTTCAAACCCCTGTTCCCTTGTTTCTTCGTGGTTCCTTCTCACATCTAATGCTCTTCCCCTCCTAATCCCGCCTATTTATCCTACAGCTTGCTACTCTCCCTCTTGGCTCTATTTTTGTAATTTCCCTCTGGTACCTGACCCCTAGAATTCTGTTCCAAAAGTGGAACAGTACACGCCTAACTCCCCGGCTCTACTCCAGCCGATACCCCCAATACTGCCTCCTCCCTCCTCTCCTTCCCCTCCCTCTCCCCTTATTCACACCCTCACGCCTCATCTGCCCTTTTGCCTCGCGTCCTCTGTCCGCTCGTGTAATATCCCGCGCACTTTCTCCCTCTCCTTCTGCAGCCTCTCCCTCCCCGGCTTGCCCTTTTTTCCTTACCCAGCAACACTTTGTCCCCTCCCACTCCTCCCTCTTCCCCCTTCTCCTTTCCTCCCCCTCTCCCCCCTGAGGCCCCGTCGGCGGGCATGGTAGGACATACTCAGACTTCTTACACAAGTTGTTCCATTTTGGTTCTTAATTCGTGAGTTAAACGACAAAGGAGACAAGTATTACAGCTTTAAAGGACCCAAGTGGATAGAAGATTTGACGACGCACAAACAATATTTATTGTTCTCTCCCTGGGCCATCTGTGTCTTATGGCTGGTTTTAACTCAGGGAATCCCGGGATCCTCCGGTAGAGTTTTAATTTAACATTTAATTTTTTCTGATTATCTGCCTGGGCATTGTCGGGCGCAGTTAGATATGCGCGGCTCGCAGAAACCTGTGCGCTTTTCGGTTTATTATCATTATCGAATGTTGCGCTGACAGCGATTATTTCCATGTCGCTGTAATTGTGTGTAAGAGACGTTACTTATATTGAGGTTTGGGATTCTTTTGTGTCCTCTTTTCTTTTTAATGATGTGGGGTTTTACGCACTTTTTTTTTCTCTGTCTTTTTTATCGCAGTGGTTAGTTTGTGATCTGACTCTCCCTCCTCATATTCGTCCTCTCTGCTCTCTGCTCTCTATCTCTCTACGTCTGCTTCTCTATGCCCGCTCGCTCTAATCCTCTATATCTCATCGTTCTACTCGTCTCTGCTACTCTCTCATTTCTGTTTGTTCTCTTTCTCTTCTCGTTGCTTTGTTACCCCGTCCTCTTTCCTCTCTCTCTACTCATCTCGGTCTCTCTCTCTCTCTTCTCTCTCTCTCTCTCTCTCTCTTCCTCTTTCTCTTTCTCTCTCTCTCTCTCTCTCTCTCTCTCTCTCTCTCTCTTCTCTCTCTTCTCTCTTCTCTTCTCCCTCTGATTCTCAGTCTCTCGTGCATGCTTGGTCTTCTCTGCTGCTTTCTAATTTGTCTTTTAGCCTAGCTTGGTAAGCTCACGGCTCAACTCCGAAGGTAATGATCGTAGGGAAAACACATTATCATGAAAGTTGCATCGTATTTTGAGGTTCAGTTTTGATGTAATTAGTAATGATAGTCACATGTTACTTTCAACTTCTTCTTACCATTTGTGTTTTCTTCTTACATTTCAGATTTTACGTTAATTAATAATGTTCTTAATTCCTGAAGAATGCAATGTTGAGTTTATTTACAGACTTGTGTGTGGGGGCGAGTGGGGTGGGTTAGAATAACAATGCTAGTATGTACATCGTCTGATCTGTTGGCTTAATTTCATCGTCTATTACATTACATTCATCATTTTTGTTTTTATTCCACATCTCGTTTCTTTGATTATGATCAATGATTATTTCCAAATCGCATTATCAAATAATCGATTATTGTTGTAAAGACCTACTACGATGTGGAGAATTAATAACTAAGACAATATTTTCAAGACTCCAAGAACAGTGAGTATAAAGGAAATTTATTTCTTCCCATATAACATTACTATCTTTTTTTCCCTTTTTCTTTTCATACTTCTTTTTTTCCTCCACGAAGCTCATATAAAAAGGAAAGGAAAAAGAAAATGGACACCATCATTGCAGAGTTCCTTTTTATGCAAAATGTCGAATGATATTCTCATGAAGTGCAGATTCATGAATGGGGATAGACGGTAGAATGTCATGAGAAGGAAAATCCAACGTTCTCGAGATAGAGGAAATCTGTAGCGTAATTTACGCCAAAATCTAAACGGCTTTGTGTATAATTCTGGCCTGATATGTAGTGAAGCTTCAGGTATTGCACAACCAAGAGACATACGAAATTTTCTTGAAACTGTTAAAAGAAATTTTGTACGTAAAATTTAGAGTATTGGAAAGGCGGCTAGGTACACGTGTGCTGCAGGGCAATTGTCACAGTAGAGAAAAATATTTATTAATTTTATCTCCCTGGATAGTTTTCAGGGCTTCTTTCTCTCTCCTTATTATATCATTTTCTCACTAATTCTCTCTCTCTCTCTGTCTCTCTCTCTCTCCCTCTTCCTCCTTCTATCCTCTCTCTACTCTCCTCTCCTCTCTTTCTCTCTCCTATTATATAATTCATATATAATTTTAAAAATAATCATAGTAATAATAATAATATAAAAAGGTCTTAACTATGTATTAATACATAACTTAATTATTATAGCTATGACTTAATTAGTAGTATACTCACTATATATATATACTATTATATGTATATTATATCTAGTCACATCATCTAATTAGTAATATTTTAACCATATTGCTAATTTATATTAGATCTCATTATGCATATGATTATTATTATATATATTATTTCTATTTATATAGATCTGTCCATATCTGTCTAATTTATCTTTCTATTCTGGCACCCGCTCTATTCTGTCGAGTATTTTTCCCTGTCATCATATATATTTTTATTTCATCTATCTATCGTGTTTGTATGTCACTTTAATTTATTTCTGGTCTGTCTTGTTTTAATTGCATAGTGTCCTTATCTCTCTATTGTCTAATATGCTTTTGTTTAATCTCTATTTTATAATGGTGTTATCTCGCCTTATTTTACGCTATCTCTCTTCCTTCTTCTTTTTCTCCATTTGGCTTCGGCGCGCGTATCAACACAGAGGTACAGTTAAGTAGGCTTGCGAGCAGATATAGATTACGATGTTCATTTAATACAAGGCATAGATGTGCGATCCCAGCAACTTGAGGCGCAGGAACTCAAAAGTACTAGAAGAGAAATACAGAAACTGTGTCCCACAGTTAAAAAACAGACTGTTTGCGGTAATAGAATATTATGAGAATAATATAAATCCCGCGTGCCAAAATATGCCTACAAAGCGGAATTGCTATACGGTCCAGCACCACTTGCACAAGTTGATTAATTGACGAACTTTAAAATTGCAACCCCAAATCTCTACATTTGATTGCACAGTGCCGGGATTTGATAATTTCGGAACAAATGAGGGGCGCACTGCGAGAATGAGGTCCCCTATAAGTGGGGCCTTCATTCCCCTATGTGGGAATGCTGAGTTAGTATCAAAAAATCATATTCAAAGATATCGCACCGAAATGGCCGGGTGGCCCCGGGAAGCATAAATGTAGACTCAATAATGCCGAAAGAAAACGCCATCTAAACGGAGTGCCACACATCTCATCCCGTGCCACCCATGACAAATCCTAACCCTAGGCGTCCATATATACACGCAAACTTCTATTTGCTAAGGGATAACTTAAACGTTTGTTTGTTATTTTTATAGCACTCGATTCTACCAAGAGTATAAACCCCTAGAGACAGAAGCACTTCCAGAAATGCTTCTCTTCACACTTATCGTCGTTGGTATCTTCATTACCAACTTCCATCACGACTAGAAAGGTTCAATTGCCAGTCACTCTGACATTTATCTGGTATTCTTCCATAAAACTGGATCACATCATTTACATATACAATTTCAGTGTAAGTACTTGAACAGGCAAAATTGAATAGTGGATAATACATATAATATTCCAGGGACACAACATCTCGTAAACATGAACGGGCTCTTGAAGCTTGTGATTGATAGCAGTCTCGCGCGACTCGCTCTCCATGGCGAAAGTGTGCAACAAATGGAGGACTTCAGTGTTATAAGTTTCAGTTATTTTTTTCCGTTTTCCTCTCGTGTCATCTCAAGATTTCTTTTTACCACAGTAGCTAGCCTAGAGACGCAGGTGCCGCCCTTCGTAAGAACTCGACAGGAGGTTCTTGCTGTAGTAGCACACGTCCCCCTCCAGGCTGGCGCAGGTTCCTCTGACGGGCAGAGTGGCCCCGGCCCCCAGCTGCTGCACGTCACCCTCGGACTGGGCCATGGCGCGCCTCAGGGGCCCTCCCCCCCTACGCTCCGTGTACACGTCCCGCCCGAAGGTGGCGAAAGACCCCCGGGCGAAAGGCAGCACGCCCACGCCGCGAAGGTCCTCCAGCAGGTCTCAGGTAACAGGAGAGTAGCCCAGGTTCTTGCGCTGAAGGAACATGTGGATTTCCCTGAAGGTCGGGCGGTCGGCGTCGGAGCGCTTCCAGCACTCGCGCATCAGGTCGTAGATCTCCTTGGGGCAGTTGGCGGGCTGCGGCAGCAGGGCCTGGCCGTGGGGAAGATGCAACAGGTCACTCTGGGGAAATTTCTTATTGCCAAACTTACAAAGGAACTGTATCAACTACACAAGAAATGTCTGGATATTAAAATCATCTTGCTTGGTACAAGAAAAGAAACTTTTATATAAAGTGGAGAAAATAATAACCAGAATGGGAAACTTAGGATGCATACAAATTTACATTAGTATTCTACATTTTACTCACAGCATACGTTTCCCTTACCTGATACAACCAACCAAGTAATTTCAATCACACAAAATCGTAAAGCAAAAGCGTAAAACACTTTCAACACGTCTGTCAGTCTTCTATCCTACTATTCTCTTACCTCTCCTAACCAGCTACATCTCTCCCTTTCCAAACTTTCGAAATTGTCTCGTTGGTTTTACATTTTACATGTAGTAATTTCACCTACATATTTTTTTCCTTTTCATATTTATAATCGAACCCATTTTGGCTATACCCATCCTTCATCTCTTTTAGTTATCTCTCCTTTCTTGTTGCAACTTCCAAACTCACATCCCATCATGCATTTAGCCCTCTTTCCCACCTCCCCCTTCGCCTTCCTCTTCCCTCTCCCTTCTCACTTCCTCTTCCCTCTCCCTTCTCACTTCATTCTGATTCCCCACCCTCCTCCTCAACTCCTTTTCCTCACCCTACCGTCTTTCCCCTCTCTACACTACACACCCCTCCCCAATCTTCCTCACCTTCGCTTTCTTTCTCCATCCTCATCTATTTTTTTTCTTCTCCCTCTCCTACTATACACCTCCATCTCCGTCTTCTACATATCCCCCTCCCTCTACCTCCCCCTGCCTGCCACCCTTCCATTCTTCTTCTTCTTCGCCTCCTCCTCTCCTCCTCCTCCTCCTCCTCCTCCTCCTCCTCCTCTCCTCCTCCTCCTCCTCCTCACCTCCTGGCCTCGTCAGATGTACGTTCTCGATGACCTGCTCGTCGGTGAGGTCCTCGTAGGGCTGCTCCCTCGCCATCGTCAGGATCTCCCACAGCGTGACGGCGAACGACCACACGTCGCTCTTGGTCGTGAACTTGCCCTGCGAAGAACACCCGAGAGAACACGAGGTGAGATCGGGACGTGGTTGTGTGGTGAAGACTAGCACTGGGGATTGTGTAATGTTGCGAGGGACTGCGTAGTAAGGGTTTAGTATAGTAGAGTGAGTGAGTAGTGCCTGCTGCGTTTGTGTGGTGAGTAAAGTTCAGTTGGTCACTGTGTGGTGCATGCGATGTAGTGTGGTCGATGATTATGCAGTGAGTGTGGTGTGGTGTGATTATGCCATGAGGGTGGTGCAGTGACTGAGTAATTAATACAAAATTGTGAGCGAATGTCTGTATTAACAGACATTGGTTGGGGCTGCGGTGGGCGCCCTTAACTAAGGGACGTTTCTTAGTTGAGTTGTATTTTCTCTAGGTAAGATTTTTCGAAATGTTTTTGCTATAGGAAAACAAGTGTCTCACGATAAATAAATGCACATTCTTACTTTATCCAATGGCCCAATTTTCCCCTTTGCATATACATATATATATATGCATGTATGTATGTATGTATGTATGCATTTATACACAAATTTGTACGTGTGTGTGTGGTGTGTGTGTGTGGTGTGTGTGTGTGTGTGTGTGTGTGTGTGTGTGTGTGTGTGTGTGTGTGTGTGTGTGTGTGTGTGTGTGTGTGTGTGTGTGTTGTGTGTGTGTGTGTGTGGTATATATTAAATATAAATAAATAATATAATAAATATATATATATATATATATATATATATATATATATATATATATAAAATTTAAAGTAAAGTTTAAAAAACAGACGCCAGACCCCGCCCGAAAAGCGAATGCAAAAGAAGGGAGCAAATGTCCTTGGAAGTCCCAGCCCGGCGGCCGCCATTCTCTCGGGACGCGGCCGCTCGAATTTCAACCAGGCTTTTAACAGGTCTCGCTTACAACGTTACTTCTGAATGAACACCTTCTGCGGGATGTAGTGGGCGCGTGCTCGGCCTCGCAACACTACAAGATCGCGGGGAAAGAAGAAATAATAAAACTTAGCCACTTTTTCCCCCTGAGTCGAGTATCGCCCCGCAAGCATACTTAAGGTAAACGGATATAAGGCGATCTCGTGCATGCAGTTCGGGTATCTGGGGAGGAAGTAGCGCCGCGTGAGAGAGCGAGAAAAAAAAGGCTTGTATTTTATCATAGCTGATTTGATGTTTTTTTCTTGTATACATATAACACTCAGTTATTTCTGAGTCTAAAAATAAATCACTTTGATCACCGTGATTGTGCGATACCAAGGCAACAGTCTAGAACAAAAGTTAAAATCCTGGGTCTCTCTTAACAAAGCCTTGATAGAAGGCGTTCTTATCATGATGCGATTTGCCCGGCAGTGCGGACTGAGCCTTTCGAGGGCCAATTGGAGGGCTTCAGTAAGACGACCCGGTTGCCATTAGTGTCCCGAGTCGCCCCGCTGCCCTTTGGCGCTGAAAGCAGCTTCGGCGCTCTGGCTTCGCCTCCGCTGAAAGGCTTTCCGTGTTTGGCCGAATCTACGTGGCTCGAAATTTAGTTCAAAGTTTTAAACTTATGTAATATTATTTTTCTACTTCATTTCCAACGCCAGCACGGAAAGCTATAGCCTGTGTGTGTGTGTGTGTGTGTGTGTGTGTGTGTGTGTGTGTGTGTGGTGTGTGTGTGTGTGT